TTTAAAGCTACCTCTTATGCAATTACTGAATATAAATAAATGAAATTTGGTATGGATATAGCTTATTCCATGATAATAAAGTATGCAAAACAGAAATGAGAGTGTCATTCACTGGCAAGACCTATTGCCATTAAATCCAATGTAGTCTGAACTTAAGGATAAAAGATGACTGTAAAAGTGAGGTTTGTACAGTGTGTGTTGCCTCTAGTATGGTGTATGGTCACCCCCGATAGACAGACAGCATGCACAACGAGTATGCATGCTGTTAATAAGGGAGTTAAGGACTTGTGGAAGACCCTCCCATTCTTCCACCAGAGCAATTTTTAACTCCAGAATGGTTCTGGGGGGGGGGCACGTTGGCGCTTTGCAATAGCTCTCCCAAGAGCATCCCAAGCATGTTCAATAGGATTCAGGTCAGAGGATTTGGCTGGCCAATCCATTCGTTGAATATCCTCGCTTTCCAGATACTCATCAACCATGAGACCCCTATGTGGTCGCGCATTGTCGTCCATAAAAATGAACTCAGGGCCAACAGCGCCCCTGAAAAGACGCACATAGGGCTCTAGGACCTCCTGCCTGTATCTCTGGGCATTCACGGAACCATTGTCAAACACATGGAGCGGTGTGCGGGTATTTTGCATGTGCGAATGAATGTACGAAAATGCTTTCCTTCTCTTAATTTTGTCCACCAGTGTATATTTGTAAAGAGTAAAACATATTCTCGTGACTGTTTTAATGGTTGCAAATAAATTTCGAACTAGAATAATAAAGAAATTCTGTTCCATTACTTTAAAAAAGACTTTTATACATACAAAAAAAAAGAAACAAATGTGTAACTAATAAAAGGAAATATTTAAAAAAAAAAAAGCAAGTTACCTCTTGTTCATTTTGAAAAACACAGATGCTATAATATTACATCATTTTCCGCTCTCAGCGAGCAATAAGTTTGATTTCTTTTATATTCTCTGTAAATTAGAAAAAGTAGAATCGTTATCGTGACTTACGGAAAACAAGAGAATGCCGACTTTCACCGGCGAATGTCAACAATCACATAGTCGCTTTGGTGAATGTTCGAAATATTTGTTTCATCCGATTTCATATTAATTTATTCGTTGAAATTATTAATATTTATTCGATATTTTAATATCTGCTGAGGATAGATTTGGAGAAACATCAGTGTTCGGAGTAACGGTTAAATGGATACTGGGTAGTGGCGCTTGATCTTAAAAAAGCATTGATGTAGGGAATACCGGGCAAATGTACGCCGGGTAGTGGCACGTAATTAGATCTTGTATATATTTCGGACTATTACCAAAGCGACTGTGTGATTGTCAACATTCACCGGTGGAAGTTAAGAACCACCAATTTTACCACCCTGTAACAGGATCACAAGTTCTTAGTTTTTGGTGCAGTAAAAATATATATTGAAAAAAAATTTTTTTTTCGGAATGTCAAATTTAATTTTTCTCGAAGTACGACTTTTTAAAAGTTTTCATTCTACTTTTTTTCGAAAAATAGATTTCTAACTTATTTAAGAATTTCGTATTCTTTGATTTCTAAGCTTTGAAACGAGTCCACATTATTTAGAATTTATTTGGTATAGCTTCATTTTATCCGATTATTACTTTATTCGTAGAAAAACATGAATTCATTTCGTTGGCTAGAAATTGGATATTAAGTTTACCAGGTTATATCCCTTTGTTTCTTTTATTAAGAATGCAATTGATTAATTTTCTTTCTTTTTTTCTTTCTTTCGTCTATTAAATTCACGAAATTGTTTTTTCGTAAAAATTATTTTTTGCAAACCCAATTCCGTTTTCTGAAACTTTACCGTTTTTTTACGCAGAATTATTAACTTTATGAGTATTAAGGAGTTTTTTTTTAGCAATTTTTGTTTTGATTGGATTATATTAAGTATTTCAGGCATTATTCATTTTTTTATTTTCATTTTTGGATTACAAAATATCTTTGCTGACATATTACCCTCTGGGGAGGATACTTTTCAATTGATCGGAATAAAATTATACCCACAGGAATTGTGATTTATGCGTTCAAAAATTGTGTTTAAAATGATTGCGTTGCTCTCACGGCTACAGTTACAATGACAAAATTTCGAAATTTTCAAAAGGCGACACCCACTTTTTTTTTATTTATTTCAAAACGCAATCCTTACATTAATAAGCCTAAATTGGAGTTGGAACGATATTTTTAGCACAAAGAAATGGCGATAGACATTTGCCAAGCGTTGCCATTTTATTTTATTTAATATCTGTCGTTGAACAGCTGACCCAATTTCGAGTTTACAACTAGCCACGTTCAACTCCGTAGCCTTGTAATTTTGAACCCAATCTAGAAAACAAGAGAACTCCTGGATTAAGTATTGGGAGAAATTTGCCATTGTGGAGATTTTTTGGATGGAACTAACCCGCTTTTACGTTACATGGAGAGGAAAACCACGAAAACC